CTAGCCTCCAGTGTTAGTATGTTTCCCCCATTTGCTGTACTGTTGCCTCAGTTGAAAAGTAATAGATTCCCTTCACACCACTTGTCTTTTAGTCTTTTCTTCTACGAACATTGTTTATTTTATTTTTAATCATTTTGGGCCGCAGAAACACTTAACAGTTCGAGAGAAAGTTTATGTGTTTTGTTGTTTTATTCAACGTTTAGGAAGATCCCTGCTCTTATCTCACCTTTCATCCTCTCTCATCAACTTTACTCTTCTTCCGCTATTTCCTCACTAAAATCCTAAATCAGCATACTGTTCCTGTTCAACCTTCCTTCTGGTGTCACCCGGTTCGATCTTCGTCCCCAATTCCCTCACAAAAGAGACATGCTTCCGCAAAAGCTGCTTCTGGATTTGAATGGAACTGAAGGGCCAGAAGCTGCTCTCAAGATACGACTCTTGCATGTTTGGGGTTATTGCAATTCAGAAAATCCATCCATTCTCTCACAGTTTTGCAGTCTTTGGACCGATTCCAAGGTAATATAGCAGTTCCTTTAACGTTTTTTTTTTTGCACTTGCCAGTGCAAATTGTGCTCTTCGGTCATTTCTCTTGCTTCGCCTCCTCCCTGTTTAACAGGGAACCTTAATCCAGGCCATCGCGACACCACATTTAGGTCACCAATTTGGCCCACACCTGCAACTAGGGTGTGTCTACTTAGTTACTGGATTCCAGCTGGCAAAACCACAGCCACTGTGCCGCCCTTGCTCCCATAGATTTAGTTTGGTCCTTTCTCAGGGAACCATATTTGAGGATGTAACCATGTTGTCACCGGGTTTCTGTGCTGATTCATTTGAGTTTTTTCACTTCAGTTCCTTGCACGGCTTACCTCGCTCAACAAACCAGCTCATAGGTTCACCTGGCAATTACTGTAATCTCATCACATATACTTCACTTGGTTTTTTGCACTAATGAATTGACGCTCTTGTAACACCTCTTCAAATGTAGAGGTTGTTGGCAGAGTTGTTTCTGTGAGCGGGTTATCCTGTTCGGCAACATCCACTGGTGCTATTATTAGGCGGAAACTGGTCATACAAAACGAAAGGTTTTCAATGCAATGCGATTGTGTACCTTTCCATTTGTAGTTGATTAAACGTAATTCCAATCATCTCCGTCTAACCTGCACTTTACTATTGCAGAAATATACGTGTTAACATCACCATATGTGGCGATGTTGCTCGATCACTAGATGGAGAAGAACTAGCATACCTTGGCCGCATGGGTTCTGTTATACTTGGTGTATGCAGTCTTCAAGTTACTGACGCCACAACAGGTTTACACTGCACCTTTATCCCTCACAGTTAATGCTATTGCTAATCCATTCTACGACGACTCACATCTCCTTTCCTACTTCTACCAAAGGCGGCATTTTTTTAACCAGCACCTCCGCTACACGGTTTGTTTTGGAGCCATCTTCTGAATTGGCAAATGTTTTGCGTGCTACGTAAGTCTCTTACAAGATGCCGCTTTTAGTAATTTACTTTCCGTTTATCTCATATACTTTCGAAATTGTAGTGCTACTGGTGGTACAGATACGATCCGATATTATCCTCCATGCTTTTCCACTTATTTTGAAGAGGAAATGTTTCGAGCTGACAGTACCAAGACAATTATGGACCTCATCCGCCTTTCCAGAAATCCAATGGTTGACGTGCGTTCTTTTGTCATAACTTTTACTGTCACAGCACTGTGTCTTATTACTTCATGGCAGGTTAAAGCATAATCTGCACTATTAATGTAGCCAGCCATTATTTTCATGCTTCAAAATTTATTCTGCCTCACCACTAGATGGATCTGTTTTTCCAGTCCCTTTTCCCAGTAAACTAACAAATTTCTTGGCTGCTTAGCTAAATTTTCTCACCAGTTTTGTTTACCTACAGGCTACCCAGTACTATTGTTTGGCGCAAGTCCTCTCCACTGAGGCTTCAAGATCATGGTTCTACTTAGGATGTGCCTTTTGCTTTAAGACAGCTAGGGAATTTCCTGGCACTGGTGATTTTTTTTGTGAAGAACATGGCCAACTAAAGGCTGAAGAAACCGAACATTGGTTAGTTTAAAATCCACCTTTTCCCCATCAGTCAAGTGGGCACGCCCAATTCAACCCTGAAATTTTAATACATTTTTACAGCTACAAAATTCATTTGGCTGTCGGAGACACTACTGGTTCGGCGTGCTTCGTCGCACTTGGAAAGACCGCTGAATCTTTGCTTGGAGTTACAGCAAACGAACTATTGTTGCAGCATCCCCACCGCCATGGCCATTTCCCTCCAGCAATTGTGGCCATGAATGGATGTTGGTTTTCGTTTTGTGTGCAACTCCCTAAACCTGGATATCTGGCTCAGACTCCTCTGGAGTTTACTATACTTTCTGCATTCGACCGCAGCCAGCTTTAACAATAAACTAATGAAAACGTCAACGCTTGCGCAGAAAGTCATTGTGCTCGACCGTTGTCTTACCTATATTATCCCAGTATTTAGCAATATTTGCACTTCAACATCAACAGACTTATGTATCCGCGATGTACGTACAAACTATTCACATGCACAATGACTCCGCTTTTTCGCTTACAACTCTCCATTCCCACAATATAGTCTCCCCGCCGCAGAGCGCGGGCTTCTTTACTAGTATATATATATACACGAATCTCTTCCAATAGTTTAAATTGTTATAGCAAACTGGTTTGTGACGTAGTGTTATAGCTAAATTGTAGTTTAGATTAGGGGTGGAAGTTTGGGTTGCGGGTTGTGGATAATTCGCAAACCGCACCAACCCGTACTTATTGTGGGTAACCATATCCACAAGTTGTGTTTTATGTAAGAATTTTTTAGTTTATAAAACACTATAATCGATAAAGTGGAGAATAATCAATTCATTAAAAGTGAACACCTTTTGCAACTTTTATGGGTATGTTTTTGCTTTTGTGTGAAAAAAATACAAGATCATATTTAATTGTCATATTTCACCCCTAGGCGGGGAAATATGAAATCACAGCTCTCTCGCACAAAAGTTGAATACCAAACTCAAAAAGAAAAAAATCTCCACGTTGAGTAAGATCGATGTACAAAATTATATCTCCACGAACAACACAAGTGTATATCACTATAATCTAGTTACGAACAACAAATACGTTAGTGGCGACTAGAACTCTATGCTTGCAAATATAGATTTTTGCGGGTAACCACACCCAATCCGCACAAACCCACTAACCACTGCGGTGTGGGTTGTGGGTAGCATAATTGTAAATTTGTGGGTGTGGGTACCCGCAAAATGTAGGGCGAGTAACCACACCCACCCCAATTTCCACCCCTAGTTTAGATCACCTACTCAAATTCTTACGGTGTTATTTTTTGTTATAAACGCGCTGCTACAGATCGGAAAATCGCTGGAATCGACAAAGCAAGAATACGAGAGCGAGAATCGAAAACACGACACACGATTTACGTGGTTCACTAACAGGACGTGTGTTAGCTACATCCACGGGCGAGAGAGAGCCAGTTTTACTATATCGAGGAGATTACAAATTACATAGGAGTATGAGAAGTATTTATAGTACTTCTCCATGTGGGTCTAAACCTAATCCAACCTGGCAAAGGAAACGGTTACAGACCAGGCTCATGACCCGAACCCAAATAACATTGAGCCCAAACACCGCGGGCCGGGGGCAACGTTGCACCTTGACACCACTCGCTGACCGGTCAGCGAGACCTCCGACTAATCCAGTCATAGGCTCATAGCGGCTGATAGTCCGATTCAAGTCACATCAACAATTTTAATTGTGGTGTTAAAGTACATGGTATGACAAATCTGTACAATCCTCAATTTTATGAGTTAACTTTCGTGTTGATAAATGTACAAACCTCAAATCTATGAATTAACTTTAATTTCGAGAATACATATAATTAAGAAAATGATTAAAATCCATACATAAACCGATTGATTTTATGAGACAAATCACAACAGTTGCAAGAGTGTTGGGGAACCCACTATTCTTGGTATCTTGCTAATGGTAGGTGAGCCTACTCGATGAGAATTACAGATTTGCCATCAAATTGTGGGGAGTGTGTTTGGTGCGCTTTGGTTCAAATTGGCAAGGTGGGGTTATATGTAGAGGGATCATGGTGGACATGATTAAGTTATGGAGTGTAAATGGCAGACATCTTGTCCTCTTGTTCTCATTTCCTCCCTTGATGCCCATTGTTTTCTAGGTTGGATGAGTTGTTGGTATTGTAAATTTTATGTTGCAAGTTGAGGTGATATTAATGGAAAATCTGCTGGAGTGAGTGTATTATGTATGAATGTTAAGAGCAAAACTTTGGGTCGATACTAAGAAGTGTTTTAGTCGGTCAGATTTGGTTCACATATCATGTCTTAGAAATGAGGTTTACGATCTAAAAACAAGGAATGCGAATTATAAGGTGAACGGCTATTTGCCGCCAACCAAATTGCTATTTGCCGCCAACCAAAAAAAAAAAAAAAAAAAAAATTTGAATTCAAATTTTGAATTCTCCCCTTCCTTCCCTTCCTATAAATTTGAGTACCATAACATTACCTCATTCCAACAAAACACTTTTGTCGACGAGCCCAGTGCCTCCGTCGCCGGCACAGTTCCTCCGTCGCCGGCCAACTTCCCGTCGTCATCAATCGTCGGAAACAAGTAAGTTTACTTTTTCCGACAATTTTTTCTGTTTTTCCGGCGATTTTTCCAGTTTTCCGGCGAAAAACACGGTGGACCGAAAGAATTTGGCGGCCGGAACGTGGCCGGGCCGAAAAAAAATTTCGGCCGGCGCGACGCCCAGCCGAAAAATTCTTTCGGCCCGGCGACGTTCCGGCCGCAAATTTTTTTCGGCCGGTCGCCGAAAGCGCCGCCGAAAAGTTTTCCGGCGGCGCGTTCGGCGACCGGCCGAAAAAAAAATTGCGGCCGGGACGTGGCCGGGCCGAAATATTTTTTCGGCTGAGCGTCGCGCCCTCTATTAGCTCCGGTTGCACGACTTGTCACTCCCACTAGGACCCATGTGTTTGGACGATCCTTTTGCCATACTTCCTTAATACATATCTGAAACTGGCAACCAGTACCCTTCGAACTAGTATTCCCACGCGTCTCCTTCGTAGGGTCTGGTTTATAAGATTTAACGATCCTACTGCTTCTGTCGCAATACATACAGAGGGCAGTAAGTCCAGAAGTATTCGGTTTCCATGCTCCTCTAACAATAAAGAACCCGTTCTCCTGAGCGATTGCTATTGCAGCTAACTCAGCTAACTCCACACTTGCATAATGGATCCCATTCTCAAATTCTGCTGTGTAATCATGATCGGCCGGTAACCACTCTGACATTTTTCCTACAATTACAATATAACACATCAATATTCTTGTGAACCTAAACGCTAATTTCAACTCTTAACCGCTAAATTCAACTCCTAAACGCTAAATTCAACTCCTAAACTCTAAATTCAACTCCTAAACTCTAAATTCAACTCCTAAAATCTAAATTCAACTCCTAAAATCGAATTTTTCCGACGATTTTTAACGAACAGGGTGGGCCGAAATTTTCCGGCGGCCGGAACCTGGCCGGGCCGAAAACTTCCGGCGGCCGGAACCTGGCCGGGCCGAAAATTTTCGGCGGCCGGAACCTGGCCGGGCCGAAGGAAAAAGGTGGCCGGAGCCTGGCCGGGCCGAAAATATTTTTCGGCTCGGCCAGGCTCCGGCCACCTTTTTCCGTCGGCCCGGCCAGGTTCCGGCCGCCGAAAATTTTCGGCCCGGCCAGGTTCCGGCCGCCGGAAAATTTCGGCCCACCCTCTGTTCGTTAAAAATCGTCGGAAAAATTGTTCGAAACTAAAAAAAAGTTGACGCACCTGCTTAGTGATGATTCATGGATGCGTGACCGCAGTTTACGTCGAGGATGGGCTTTCCCGATGGTTTTCCGGCGACTTTTCCGGCGAGCGTCGATTTTTTCTGATTCAATACGTTTTCTGAAACTTGAAAATGTTGTAGATTGTGAAAAAACTTAACCAAAGATGTACATATATATTTTCTTCTTTTTTTTTTTTTTTTTTTTTTTTTAGTTGGCGGCAAATAGCAATTTGTTTGGCGGCAAATAGCAAGCCCCATTATAAGTGCGTCCTTTTATCGTATTTAGGGTTCCCTAGGAACGAGTTAATGTTTTATTTACTTACGAGCTCGCTCGATTTCGTTGATGTTTGCCCCTCCTTCACATTACCCATTATTTTGCAACATGAGCAACAAGTTCTAAGCTTTGCAAACCCTCATTAGAACCCTTATCTTATAGGTTCTGCTATTCAACATCCTTTCAAGTCTCAACCCTAATTCATACCCTTTGTAAAAAAAAAAAAAAACCCTAGGCGATAGTGGAGGAAACTAGTTTAAGTGCCAATTGAGTTTGAGGTTTAGGTTGTCGATTCTAAAACAACTAAGTAATGTTGTAAGAATTGAATATACAAGTATATAATTGTCCAACAATCAAATAATCGAATAAAAATGAAACACACAAACAATTTAACGTAATTTGCTCGAAGAACATATAATTGCCATCTCTCTACGTTCTTCAACCTCCAAATACCCTCAAATTTCTGAATTGATGCTTGCAACTTTGGAGGTGCCGGTAGCTTTGATTCTAACGAAATAAAGACAAGATGGGCAAATGGATATTTGTCTCCAATTCGGGCGGCTACTAATTAGTGGTATTGAGAAGCTTCTTTTATTTTTTTATTTTGTGAGTGATTGGGTAATTGATGGGGAACAAAACACAATTTGTACATAATAAAAATGAATGAAATCATGAAAATGATTAATTAAAACATCGTTACGCCACTAATCAAGTGACATAATAATGAACAGCATTTTTTATGCTTGGAGCTTTGGAAGTGGCGGTAGCTGTGAATTGTGATTCTACCGAAATAATGACAAGATGGAGCAAATTAATAGTTTTCTCCACACAAAAAAAAAAAGGGTTTTTTCCAAATTCGGCCGTCCTCTAAGTGGAATCTGATGACAACATTCTCTAACTCACAACTAAGCTCTTTGTAGCGCCGAGTTTAGAAATGGTTCAACCACGATTATCGAAACCGTGTCGAACGAGCTGGTCCAACCAGTAGGGCTAACTATTTGGTTTGGGTTTTTTGGTTTTACCCGAAACCGGACTGTATAACTCGGATCGAAATCGGATCGGGATCGGATAGTAAACAATCCAATCCAATTTTTGGGCTTAGATTTGAGGTAAAAAGTCGTTGGGGATCGGATCGAAAACTGGATAAAGACCGGATAAGAGAGCTCAACACCCAAAACTTAAAGGTAATTTGCATAAACGGTCACAAACCTTTGCACTTAGTACAAAACTTAAACAACTCCTCACACTTTCAGGCCTTAGGCCACTCAAATCCCCACAAACTCAGTATAAAATCAAGATCGAACTGGGACCGGACCGGATCAAGATCGGACGGTATCCAATCCAGTCTTTGGTTCTTATATTTTCGAAAAGACCGAACTGGGACCGGATCAATTTGGACCAATTTAACCGGACGGACCGTATAGCCACCCCTACCAACCAGCGCAACTTTCCCGCCAATGAAACCCAGTCACCATCCGTGCATTGGGCTTTCGTTTGGGCCCAAGTTCGAAGTAAACCGCAATGCTAAAGCCCAGTCCACTCCACAGCCTTCTTTTTTCCTCAACTTCAATGGGCTTCTTATTCCGATCCGTAGACCAGAAAATGTGGAAGACGACAGTCTTCATGTGATTCCGAGACGCCGGCGGGATCGGCACTCGCCGCGGTTTCACCTGCTACCTCAACGTCGCTCTCTCCGACAACCAAAATCGATGCCTTGCTCGACGACAAAACACAGAGCGTCGACAAACTCCTCTCCGCTCGGAAAACTTCCGCACTCTTAATCATGAGTATTTTCGCTGATTCAACCTGTGCTTGGGAGAGGTGGTCGCATGGAAAAGTCAGGGCACCGGGTGCTTTCAGTCTTCTTTAATGTAGAAGCCTCCGTTGTCTGAAAGCTGTGGCTAATTGTGCTGACCTTCCTCTCTAGGCGACCGAGTGAGTATTCGTTAATACTATGAGCCTTTCTTATTGAATTGACTGTTTCTTTCAATTAGTGGTAAATTGTACGTACATTGTATGTAGTATGTTAAAAAAAATGCAACAATTGGGAGTAATTAGGTTTAGACATCGTAGCCGTTCTCTACTTCGAACATTTCCCTCACGTTTTGACACTTTGGTTCGTAGGACTGAGTGTAACTTAATTAGGGAGGTAGTGAATGATGTTCAGAGTGCAGCTTGACAAGTTTGATTGGTATTGATTCAGGCCTTTTGGAGATTCAGAAAATGTTAGCCATGGCCACATTGGATGGTACTCGCATAATTGGAATCTGGGGAAAGGGAAAGATGATATCCAGAGATCAAGGAACATCATATTGAAAGGTTTGGCATCTCATGGCTGCTCTCTCCTACACCCACCATGTCATGGTGTTGTTAAAAGCCATCTCATGGCTGCTCTCTCCTACCAATCGAATCGAAGCCTTCATGGCTTTACAGCTACTGCAAAATCTAGAGGTTAGTATCAACAACAAACAAAAGGTTAGAAAGTGTAGTTTGATTATATTTAATGATGCCAAGAAATTTCCTCAGTTTGACCAGTAGGTTTGGATGGTAACAAGAAACTCCAAATCATGATGTCCACATACCTTCAATTGTTAAGTGGAATTCAAACTGGAAGACACTATTTTTTTGATGGTGACAGTGACATAGGTTGGATTAGTTGCAGCATCAAAAATAAAGAATGACCCAGGTAGTACTTACAACTAATCTCCTTAGTCCTTAGCAAAAATAAAGAAGCAAAAATTAAAGAATGACCCAGGAGGGAGTCAACACTCACTAATGCTCCTAGGTTTAACAGTTAGTTATGATTAAGATGCTGTCCGTTTGCCAAGTTAATCAGAAAGAAGAGCAGATCAACATCCCCCCATGGCAGTGGCTTCCTCCTTTTCCTCAACTTCAATGGCTTTTTCGTCTCATGGTGCATTGTATACAGGAGAATGGGAATATGACGTTTTCTTATGTTTCAGAGGTGATGACACCCGCCATTGTTTTGCAAGCCACCTCATGGCTGCTCTGGCCGCCAGCCAAATTCAAGCATTCAACGATGCCATGCTTCACAAGACACAATCCTTCGACGAGCTCCTGTCTGTCCTCCAAAGGTCCGCGCTTTCAATTGTGATTTTCTCCGAGAAATTCGCTGATTCTCCCTGGTGCTTGAACGAGGTTGCTACAGTTGCCCAAAGCATGGCAAATTTCGGGCATCGAGCATTGCCGGTATTTTACAAGGTTGGTTGGTCTGATGTGGTGGCGGACTCCGGCAGTTACTCCACTACCATCGTTGATAAGCTTAAAGCCAGCTCAGAGGACAACAAGAGATGGAAGGATGCTTTGAAAGCAATTGCTAATTGTGCTGGGCACACCTCCGAGGAAACTAAGTGAGAATTCCTTTTCCCTCTAATACTAAGATCATTATTAAAATGATGAAAATTGTTATTTAGCTTCCAGATTTATTGGTTTGCTATGTTGGCGATAAGTTTACAAGATGGTTTGTGTTGTCTTCTGAAATTGGTGAAATTTCCTGGGAATTGGTGAAAGTCTTAACAAAACAAAAAAGAATACATGATTGACCGTTTGCTGGGGAAATTCTACAATAGTGGCGAATCAATAACCATTGCTTACAAGTTTTTTTGTTTTACTAATGTAATGAGATCAGAAATATATCTAGCAATGAGAATTGACTGGTACTGTAGTTGTCCACCTTTTGTTTAGATATCAAAACATTCTTTTAGAAATTGAAGAGCTAGTTTTATTAATGAGATAGATGGATGAAAACCTCGGATCCAACTTAGTTTGCAATTTGAGCAATCTAGTATAGTAGCTCAATACCCTAATGAACATCTTGATACTTTAAGTTTTTAGTGGAATCTTACTATGATAACTTCATTCTTTTCATTTGGATTCTCTTTTTGCTGTTTGTCCTGTGACTTTTAGGATTGAATCTGAATTGATTAAGCTAATAGTAGAAGATGTTCAGAAGCAGCTAATAGACATGTCACCGAGCATCAAGTCTAACAACTTGGTGGGTATTGGTCCACGCGTTTTGGAGGTTCAGCGATTGTTAGCCATGGAAGAACTAGATGATACACGCATCATTGGGTTATGGGGGATGGGTGGTCTAGGGAAAACAGCTCTGGCCAAAGCTTGCTATGATCGGACAGTTTCATCAAAGAAAGAGATCAAACATCATTTTATCCGGAACATCAATGAAAGTTGTGAAAGCCAAGTTGGCGTTGAAGGAATAGTGCAGGATTTGTATTCAAAGTTGTTGTCTGAGAAGAATCTAAGTCGTGAAGATTTAGATATGAAATGTCGAAGAGCACGTCTTTCTCGCTCGAAGGTCTTCATTGTTCTTGACAATGTGGAGACTCCTTGTCAATTAGAGCAACTGCTCTTAGGAGATGTCTCTAAACACAATAAGCTCTTCGCCATGGGGAGCAGAATTATCGTGACAACAAGAAATAAGAAAGTGCTTCAAAATGCAATGGCAAGGGTATATGCTATGAAGGCTTTGAGTTATAATGAATCTATTCGACTCTTTAGCTTGCATGCATTCAGGCAATACTATCCCCCGGATGATTGGATGCATCTGTCACACCTTGCAGCATCATACTGCAAGGGGAACTCCTTGGCTCTTCGAGTTTTGGGAGGTACATTGTTTGGTGAAGACATACAGTATTGGCAAAATTTTCTGAGTGGATTAAGAAGGATTCAGAAGCCGGAAATTCATGACATTCTTAGAAGAAGCTACAATAAATTGGGGGTTCAAGAGAGGAGGCTGTTTTTAGATGTTGCTTGTCTCCTCAACGGAATAGCACGATCCAGACTGATCAAATATATGGCAGTCACATGCTCATCAACATATTGTATTGTGAAGGACTTAATTGATAAGTCCCTCTTAATTTGTATTTCCTGCAAGGACGGAGAGAAGATTGAGGTGCATGATCTGCTTAAGGAAATGGCTTGGAACATTGTCAACGAGGAACAAAAGCTCCGCAAACGCACCAGGCTGGTAGATCCTGAGGATATTCACAAATTACTGACAACTCATAAGGTGAAAAATTGGGCAACATTCATTTCAAACCTCTTCAGAGGCATAGAGATGGTACTACCAACAAGAAAAAGAAGAAAAGTCATACACATGCACGGGGAAGGTAATTGTACATTGGAGAAACTTAGAACAACTGAAGGTATTAGTTTGGATCTTTCTAAAGCGAAAGAGATGCATCTGGAAGCCAATGCATTTGAAGGGATGGATTCTCTTACGTTTCTCAATTTCTGGTTGCCGATAAATGCTATGTCTAACCGTTCAGCGAGGGACAACAAATTCCTTTTGCCATATGGTGGCCTTGACTCTCTTCCTGGCGGTTTGAGATGGCTGCATTGGGATCAATATCCTTCCAAATCACTACCTTTGAGATTTTATCCCCAACATCTCGTCCATCTTATTATACGAGATAGTCCAATTAAAAGACTCTGGCAAGGATTTGACCAAGTAAGTAACTGTCATTTTTTAATTCGTGTTTCCTAACTTTCGCCGTCCTTCATCACTTTGGATAATTTGTTTAACCTTTGTTTTCAAAGGCGTCACCGTGGTGTTGACCATTGTTTTATAGTTTGAATAATGGATTGATTGACATCTGTTTTTGGCAGCCATTGCTGGTGAATCTGATGGTGCTCAATCTCTCCTATTGCGCAAGTCTACTTGTGATCCCTGATCTCTCAAAGTCTTCAAAACTTGAGGAACTCCTACTCCGGGAGTGTAAAAGCCTAGTTGAAGTACCCTCTCAAGTTCGATATCTGGACAGGTTGATAGCAATTGACCTTGGATATTGTGTGAACCTCAAGCATCTTCCATCAAAATTCAACTCAAAGTTCCTCAAGAATGTTTGGATGGACCATTGTCCTAATGTGAAGCATTGTCCAGACATGAATTCAGGAGAGTTGATGGAATTGGATTTAAACGAGACACCTGTAATAGAGCCGCCGGAAGCAATTTACCATGTCAAGCAAGGTGGCATCCTTCGTCTCTGTGGCAAACACTTCGCCAACTTCCCAGCTATCTCAGCAAGATTGCAGGAATTTCATCTGTGTCATTCTGCAATAAAAGATATAAATCCTTATGGTCATCATCAGGCTTCTTCTGAGTTATTGCCGGAATTTGGCTGGTTGGAGTTGGTCGGTAACTTGCAATGTAAGAGCCTGCCAAAGAATATATGGAACATGGTCTCTTCTCTTCTTACCATCAGGCACAGTCCATTGCTTGAAAATTTGCCAGAGATCTCAGAGCCTGTGAGTGGTCTATCCTATCTTTCAATAATTCGTTGTGAAAGCATCAAAAGCATCCCATCTAGCATCAACAATTTGGTATCTCTAAGTTATCTCGGTTTGAGAAACACCGGCATTAAATCATTGCCTTCCTCTATCCAAGAATTGGATCAACTCAATTCAATAGACCTGAGCTACTGCAAAAGCCTCGAGCATATCCCCAGTAATATCCAGAAACTACCCAAGCTATACGGCTTGTACTTGAGGGGTTGTCGAAGTATTTCGTCTTTGCCGGAACTTCCATCAAATCTCTCTATTTTGGATGTTGGTGGTTGCAAGTCATTGCAAGCTCTACCAAGCAACGCCAGTAAGCTGAGTTGGGAGAGCCTCAGGTTTTACAACTGCCCAGAATTGGACAGGACGTTTCCTGATGAAATCGTGGCAAATTACCCAGTCTATGCAACGTTGCCTCGACGTTGCAAGGTACGTAAACATCAACTTGTTGTTGTGTTGGTGTTGGTATTGTTATTATACTATTAGCCAGTGAACAGAACGTCAAATACTCTTCTTTCTTGATGAGGCCATCTGTTTATGTGCTGATAAACAGGCCGAGCTTCAATATCTGGGGAGCGATATTCCAGAATGGTTTTCTTCCAAGAGCGCGAATGGAAATGACGGTTCATCTGTGATGGTTCATTTGCCTCCCTCCAACGGCAGCAGTGAGCGACCAATGCTCAAGGGCATTGCATTCGGCGTGGTTTGGTTTTCCGATTCTTTCTGTGTTTGGCCGACGATGAAATGTGATTGTTCCATCGGCACCATCACCGTTGCCTCTTGGAGCTCGTGCCATTTTTCTTTGGACGGGGATGGCACGAACTCATCAGACAAAGTGTTCCTATGGTTCGACCAGAATTTATCAGGTAAGAGCAAGGAAAGAGAAGGAAAAGGAGAAGAAGAAGCATGGTATGTGAAATATGCCGGGCTCGCTGTTTCGTTCCGGTTCTATCCTCGTTTAGGATACGGAGAAGATGTCAAGCAACTGGAGAACTTCAAAATCAAGAGATGTGGCGTCTCTCTAATGTACTAAGTCTCCAAATCGTTCTGTTGCCAATTTTCAGGGTTTTCAGTTGCATATATAAAGTCCACTAGGAGTGGACTTCAAGTCAGCACGAAACAATCCAAGGCAGGACTTAGGTCGAAGAGAAGCTTGCGCGCCAAGGAAGTGTCGCAGCTCTGTTCTGCTTTTTTCCTTCCAAACATGAAGAGATTGGTCGTTGGTATTATTCTAAAGGAAGTCCAACTTCCTTGTTTGCCATGCCGATTAACCCTCGCCGCCTCTTCGGCCACGGCCGTCCCGACGCCGCCGACAAGGATTCTCGGCCCTCCTTCAGTGGCGGGGCTGATGCGGCCGGAATACACACTCCCTGCTTCCCCGCCGATGGGTTTGACGGAGAACTTCTCACCCACCTACCTTTCCACCGGCAACCCCTGCCTCGATTTCTTCTTCCACGTCGTCCCCGACACTCCCGCCGGCAGTCTGGTCGACCGGCTCGCCTCGGCCTGGGCTCACGATCCCCTGACCACGCTCAAGCTGATCGGCAATCTGCGAGGGGTCAGAGGAACGGGGAAATCGGACAAGCAAGGTTTCTACACGGCGGCGCTCTGGCTCCACGACCACCACCCCAAAACCCTAGCCCTCAACGCCAGGGCATTCTCCGAATTGGGGTATTTCAAGGATTACGTCGAGATTCTGTACCGGCTCCTCGGAGGCCCCGACGCGAGGAAGAAAGCGAAGAAAGGCGAACCAGGGAAGAAGGTTCTGGACGCCGCAGATCCTGTTTCAGTGAGGGCACGGCGCAAGGAGCGAGAGATCGCGAAAGCGGCCAAGGCGCTGAAGAGGTACAATTCCGATCCCGACTATAGGTTCCTGTTTGATTCCACCGCGGATCTGTTCGCCGATTTGCTGAAATCGGATATGGAGGCTCTGAGATCCGAGGACTACTGGAACATCTCCTTGGCGGGCAAGTGGTGCCCGTCGATCGACTCCTCGTACGACGAACACCTGCTGATCTGCGAGGCGATTGCTCGCCGGATGTTCCCCAAGGAGAGCGACGAGCAGTACCAAGGGATTGAAGAAGCACATTATGCTTATCGGGTGCGGGACAGGCTGAGGAAGGAGATTCTGGTCCCTCTCCGAAAAGCGCTCGAGATTCCGGAGGTGTACATGTGCGCCGGGGAATGGAGTTCTCTCCCCTACAACAGAGTTCCTTCCGTGGCGATGGCGAATTACTCCGATCTGTTCCTGAAACACGACAGGGAGAGGTTCCAGGAGTATCTGGAGAAAGTGAAGTCCAGGAAGGCGAAGATCGCAGCTGGGGCGCTGCTTCCCCACCAGATAATCGCCCAGCTGAAACATCCTGAGAAAACAGCGGTGGCGGAGCTTCAGTGGGCGAGGCTGGTGGATGACATGTCGAGGAAAGGGAAGCTGAGCAACTGCATTGCCGTCAGCGACGTGTCTGGCAGCATGAAGGGGACTCCAATGGAGGTGTCCGTGGCGCTCGGGCTGCTGGTTTCGGAGCTCAGCGAGGAGCCATGGAAAGGGAAAGTGTTCACGTTCAGCAGCGATCCGGAGCTTCATTTGGTGCGGGGGGAGACGCTGATGGAGAAGACCGAGTTCATCAGGACGATGGATTGGGGGTCGAACACCGATTTCCAGAAGGTGTTTGATAAAATCCTGGACGCCGCGGTGCTGAACAACCTGACGGAGGATCAACTGGTGAAGCGGGTGTTCGTTTTCAGCGACATGGAGTTCGACAAGGCGTCGAGGCGATGGTGGCTGGAGGAGGAGGAGAGGAATTGGGAAACTGACTATCAGGCGATACAGAGGAAGTTTGGGGAGAAAGGGTACAACAGGGTGCCGGAGATTGTGTTCTGGAACCTGAGGGACTCGTCGGCGACGCCGGTGATGGGAACGCAGAATGGGGTGGCGCTGGTGAGTGGATTCTCGAAGAATTTGCTGAAGGTGTTCATGAAGCGAGGTGGGATTGTGGATTGCGATGATGCGATGATGCTAGCCATTGCTGATGAGGAATATGAGAAGCTTGTGGTGTATGACTGAGTGAGTGATTATGGCGTAGTTACAGTCACAGAGTGCTGGTTTGGAAATGGTTCTTAGTATAGTGACTTAAAATGGAACTAATAATAAATTAGTATCCCAAACTGAACTACAAGAATAGATCAGTGACCTAATTTGAAATTTACCGCTTTCTTTCCCCTCTCTCTCACTCTCTCATTCTCTCTCTTCCTCTGTATCACACATCTGTTTTGCAGTTTCCAGCTTCGTTGCCCGAATAATATCCTTCGCCCGCCCACCTACCACCGCCGTGCATGCACCCTTGCCACCGCTGAGCTGCCCGAGGAGGGGAAGAAGAAAATGTCGTCGGCGGCGATTTCCAGTTTCATACCCCGCGGTAGAGGCGGAATCTCGGCGACTCCCGCCGATATCACCCCCAACAATCTCCTCACACTACAACGCACTTTCCCGACCTTCGCCTCCAAACCTCCAGAGCTCACCCTTTCCTTCAAAACCCTCTGTTCTTCTTCTTCCCACTCTCCACCGCCGCCTTCTCCGCCGCGGAACAACCCTTCGAAAGCTTTAATCTCCGTCCTCCGGGCAATACCGGACTGGTCGGACCGGATCAAAGAGCGCGGGATGCGGAAGAACCGGTCCCTCTACACCCCCGAGAAATGGGTCGAGCACCGGAGCTCCCTCCGCCACGTCCGCCACCTCCTCTCCAGCGCCTCGTCTCGGGTCATTCTGTCCTTGGTCCCGCCGGTGATTGCTTTCACCCTGGTGGCAGTGTTTGTTGCTGGGTACAACTCCGCGGTGGAGCTCCATTTCCTCCCTGGGTTTCTCCCCATTCTCAGGGCTTCCTCGCTGCCGTATCAGCTGACGGCTCCGGCGCTGGCGCTTCTGCTGGTGTTCAGGACCGAGGCTTCTTACTCTAGGTACGAAGTGGGTAGGAAGGCTTGGACTAAGGTGGTCTCGGGGACTAATGATTTCGCCGGCCAGATTATCGCCGCCAGTGTGGATGGTTCTAGAGATGAAGCCGTTCTGAAGAATGCGCTATTGAAGTATGTTATGGCCTTTCCGATTGCGCTCAAGGTCTAATTGTTTTCCCTTCTCCCTTTTTTGCTCCAGTGCTAGACTTCATGAAATTTGAGCTAATGAGTTCAGACATCTGTCTTTCTAGGAACATGTTGTCTGTTGAAATGATTCATTTCACTGATTATCACAGGAGATTTTCGTTTGTTGCAGTGCCATGTGATCAATGGTTCAGACATTGGCCAAGACCTCCGGCATGTGCTGGAAGAGGATGATCTTGCAGTGGTGCTCAATTCCAGGAATCGGCCTAGGTGTCTCATTGGATTCATTTCACAAAGCCTTAGACTACTGAGCTTGGAGGAAACCAAGAGGAATCTGCTGGTTTGTATCTCTCATTTTGTTGATTGAAGTTTCTGCAGTTGTTCCAGCTCTCCTTTTGGACTCCCAGTCAAAGTGGTGGTTTCCTTGTTATATCTTTTGTGTGTGTGTGTGTGTGCGTGCAGCAGTCGAAGATGTCATGTTTCCACGAGGGGATCGATGTGTGCGAAGAACTTATAGGAATCCCTATTCCACTCTCGTATACTCGCTTAACATCGAGATTTCTGGTACTTTGGCATCTCACCCTTCCTATAATCCTTTGGGATGATTGCCACTGGATTGTTGTCCCTGCTACTTTCATCAGCGCGGCTTCCTTGTTCTGCATAGAAGAGGTTAGATTTGATTGAGTTCTCTGAAATACAGGATAGTCAGTTTACTTTTTCTCTTTCATAAACAATCTGCTGCAGCTGTTTATGGTGGAATATTCTACTGTAGGTTGGTGTTCTGATTGAGGAGCCATTTCCTATGTTGGCACTGGATGAGCTGTGCGATCTAGTTTGCCGAAACATTCATGAAGCTGTTGCCAATGATAAAGCCATTCAAGCACACCTTGTTGCAAAAAAGAAGATCCGGCCTCATCGTGAGCACTCAACAAATGGTTGGCCAAACTCCTAAGTAACTGCTTGGAATTGCGCCTGCAAGATATCATCTTGAATGGTAACTCTTCACGGAAACTTGGTCACAGAAGCCACTAAAACTCCACGAGAGGCTGCTGCAGTTTTGTCACCCTCAAATCTTTGTTATCAGCTGAATCTCATGCTCTAGACTAATGTATATATGTAACAGTGTTAGTGGTGAAGTAGTCTGTATATATAGAGAGAGATCAGCAACTCAGTGGCATAATCTTTTAGTGTGTATACAGAACTAAAGTGGCACCAGACAGAATAAACACGGGTCAATTTGGACAGTTGGAGATGCAATTGACGCAAATTGTTGAGTCTCCTTCGGATGAAGGAAGCTGCCAAGACCAAGACCAGACCCACGAGGTGTCTGTCTGCAAACTGGAATCAGCAATATGAAATCCTCAGGCAGGTTTTCCAATCTATTGATGTGGCTATTATACAAGTTCACTTGGAATGGATCTCACACCTGCAAATAATTGTACTGAACTGATCAGTGATGTGTAGAAACATTTGAGTACTTTTCCGTAAATGTCCATATCTATAAAAAGCATGGAATCGGATTCCAGAAACGGAATCAGTTGGGAAATTAAAACAGAATTTCTCTCTTCTTCTTCTCAGCTAATTTGAGCATCTCCCGCCGGGGATAATCGATCCGGCGGTGCCTGCCGATCACTTTCGCCGATGAGGTCCACCGTATCATCATCGTCCCTCCTTCCATCTCACTTCCTTCACAGACCTCACAAGACCGCTCTTCTGCCGCTCCCCCGCCGGGATTTACTCGCTGAACGGAATGGAACGTTCCCGAAGACCTCGCCGCGTAATCCGCTCGCGGTTTCATCGCCGGTGAATCGAATTGTTATTGCCGCCGCCGCCGTCACCCCTGCCTCGCCGCAAATCGAAGAAGATGCTTCGTCTGCCTCGGTTCCTTCGGGCGCCGACGTGGTGAGGAGATTCTACGACGGAATCAACCGCCGGGATCTGGATTCCGTCGAGGGGCTCATCGCCGAGAAGTGCGTGTACGAGGACCTTATCTTCCCCAATCCCTTCGTTGGCCGTAAGGTAAAGTGTTATCCTTCCAGCTGGACTCTCGCACGCGCCAGTCACGTGCCCAATGGAAAATGAATGTAATGCCATTTCTAGTCCCTATACTATGTTGTTTGAACAAACAAGGACCAATGGAATTTCACAAATTTAGCAGGCGATCATGGAGTTCTTCAACAAGTTCGTCGACTCGATCAGCGGGGATCTCCAATTCGCCATTGACGATATCTCGGCTGATGATTCCTTAGCCGTTGGAGTCACCTGGCATCTGGGTAAACTGAATTCACTCGTATGAATACTGTATTTGCACGAATGCTATGGAACCAATGGTTTTTTTTTTTGTGCTGTAACTTCTCAGAATGGAAGGGGAAGCCTTTCCCATTCAGTAAAGGTTGCAGCTTTTACCGTCTGGAGGTTAACAATGGCCAGCGACAGATAATGTAGGAGACACAGTAACAGTTTTCTCCCCTTTTTTCGATCACATCTTATCGTTGATTATAAAATCTGCAAATCTGTGGATGAACAGTTACGCGAGGGATAGCGTGGAGCCTGCTCTGAAGCCCGGAGAGGCAGCATTGGTATGTAGATGTAGTGACTCGTAGTTTACGTTACGTACGATAGGTTTGACACGCATAAATCGAGAAATCGTACGTTCGAATTGCTGTCTGATAGTTTGTTGTTTTGGTAACCAATTTGGATCACAGACAGCTATCAGGGGAGTGACTTGGTTGCTGCAGCAGTTTCCGCAGCTGGCAGATCGGCTTCCACAATGACTCTCTCCAAAGACGAATCATCGTGTGAGAGGTTCCATTGAATGTGTATAGACTATGCATAGATACATAAAGCCTTTTACTGTATGTAGGATGTAAATTTTTGGTCATGAAAAATAGCATCCTGTAATAGCCTGGGGTACATTTTGTAATGTGAATATGTTCCAAGATGTTTATGTATGGTTATGTAAGAGAATAGAAGATCGATATAAAGATCCATCTTTGATCTCTTAAAACCATGTGAGCGAGCCATTGATATCGAAGATCGATGCGTTTCTGTTGGCTGACACGATCCTCATCAACGATGCTTGAATATCGATTCAGCGAAGAAAAAACTGAGTTATTAAGGTCAACTGATGTTTCAACACGACATCGATGTAATTCAATTTAACAATGCTTGTTAGCTTACCATCAATTCCGCCTACCCTGTTTTGAGAAAGAATGAAGAGTTTTACATTCGAATTCTTATATATATATATATTGTATTTGACTCGACGACTTGGTCATTGATACATACAGGATCGTATTTTTGGACAAATATGAATTAAATTTCTGGCTTGGTACAAACGAATTGAGACTAATAAGTCACGGAAGTCTAGTCTGGTGGTGTAAACGAAACTAAAAAAATAGTTAGGTCACCTTGGCGAAACTATATGCGGAGATTAGTGACTATATTTAAAATTTACCACCTTTCCCTTGAACAGTTGAAGAGTTGGAACTTGGAAGTGAGGGCAAAAAAACCCGCGCTCTCTCTCTCGAGTCTCGAGGAAGAAAATGTCGTCGGCGATTCACGATTTCAAACCCTGCGGTCGAGGCGGAATCTCCGCGACTCCCTCCGGAAGGATTATTACTCGTAATCGATGGGTTTACGCTTCTCAAATTTCGTCGCCGGCTGCTCAGGTGCTTTTTTCTGTTTGGAATTGGATTGTAATTTTTGTTCCTCCTTTTTTCCTTCGGTTCTCTGCAATGGTCGCCGATGTCTGATACGAGAAGTCTCTGATTGCTATTTGATGGTGATTATAGAATTAAACCATTCAGAATTTCCAGATTATCGCTCCATAGTTGTACTCAAATTGTTAATTGGGAGTTTAAAATGGAAGGTAATTGTTGTCTCTACGGTGGTATGGTGATGAAGAGAGAGATTAGGTTGGGTGAAGAAGAAAAACTATAAAATGACCCTAGAAGAAGTCAGATAACCAATCCCTTTCAATGCAAATAGAGAAATGGGATTAAGAAGAAGGAGAAGAAGATGAAATGGAAACATTAGAGCTTAAGGAAGGTCAACCCTCCACAATGCAACAATTGCTCCGAAACTTCAAGTCTTTGTTGTTAGCAATCAGATGATTAGTCCAATTATAAAAGACTGTCCCTTTGTGTAGCTAATTAGAAAGAAAACAAATCAAGATCTCCCTCCACTCTAATGGCTTCCTCAGCTTAATTGGCTTCTTCTTCTTCTTCTTCTTCTGACTCATAGTGTCATGTATAGGGGAAAATGGGAGTACGACGTCTTTGTGTGTTTCAGAGGCTCCGACACCCGCAATGGTTTTACAAGCCACCTGATGGATGCTCTCTCCGACAAGCAAATCAAAGCCTTTATAGATGATAAGCTCCAAAAAGCAGAGTGCATCGACGAGCTAATTTCCATCCTTCACAGATCAGCACTCTCGATCGTGATTTTCTCGGAGAACTTTGCAGATTCCACCTGGTGCCTGGAAGAGGTGGTCGCCATAGCCCAAAGGGTGGAAGAATTCGGGCATCGGGTGCTTCCGGTTTTCTACAAAGTGGATCCCTCAGATATAACAGAGGATTCGGGAAGTTATGCTGCTGCGGTTGAGCAGAAACATGGAGCAACCAGCAGTCCTGAGGATAGGAAGAGATGGAAGAATGGTTTGAAAGCTGTGGCTAACTGTGCTGGCCATACCTCGCAAGCAATCAAGTAAGTATTCCTTACTCCTAAAAGCCAGCGTTCTTATCAAAATAGTAGCTTCTCTAAACTTCGATTTCCGTTTTCTCATTGGAGTTTTTCTTCATTGGTCTTCTGTTTCTCTTTGTTTTGCGCTTTTGAATTCTTAGGATTGATTCTGAATTAGTGAAGGCAATAGTGAAAGATGTTCTAGAAATACTCACAGACATGTCACCGAGGGTGAAGTCTGATATCTTGATTGGCATGGATGCACGTGTTTCTGAGGTTGAAAAACTATTAGCGGTGAACGTAGATGATTTTCGAATCATTGGACTTTGGGGCATGGGTGGTGTAGGAAAGAGCACTCTAGCTAAAGCTTGATATCAATCGTTTGTATGCTCTGGAAAAGAAATCAAGCATCACTTTGTTCATAATATCAACGAAAAGTGTGAAAAGCAATCAGGGATTGAAGGAATGGTACAAGAACTGTATTCAATATTATTGGCAGAGGATAACTTAAACTACCAAAACTTAGAAATTTGTTATAGAAGGGATCGTCTTTCTCGCTTGAGGGTGTTCCTTGTTCTCGACAGTGTGGAAACAGTATCACAGTTAGAACAGTTGTTGTTGGGAGATGTTTTGAATACCGCCAATCTCTTTGCCCCAGGAAGCAGAATTATTTTGACAGCTAGAAACAGGAGAGTGCTTGAATATGCAGGGGCTTATGTTTATCATGTCAAGTGTTTACATTCTCATGAATCGCTCCAGCTGTTCATGATACATGCATTTAGAAAAGGCCTTCCACCTATTGATTGGACTGATCTATTGGATGCGGCTGTTTCATACTGCAAGGGAAGCCCTTTAGCCATTAAAGTATTGGGAGGTGCATTGTTTTGTAGGGACAAAAGTTACTGGAAGAGTCTCTTGAATGAATTGGGAAAAATTCCAACGCCAGAAATTCATGATGTTCTTCGTAGAAGCTATGATGAGCTTGGAATTGTTGAGAAGAGAGTGTTTTTGGATATTGCTTGTTTTTTCGGTCGGTGGGATAAATTTTTACTAATAACATTTTGTCCTACTAGTTCACAAATTGATCACGTTGTGGAGGATCTTATTGATAAGTCCTTGTTTATCCGTATCTCCGGCGAAGGCTATGAGGATGTTGAGGTGCATGGCTTGCTAAGAGAAATGGCTTGGAGCATTGTTAATGAAGAACCAAAACTAGAAATCCGTAGTAGGTTGAAGAATTGTGATGATATTCACAAACTATTAAGAGTTCGGGAGGTGAAATCTTGGAAAACCTATCTTCTTAACATTTTCCAAGGCAAAGAGATGCCTAGGAGTACCTTTGAGGGAGGTAGAGTAACTGAATGCATTAGTTTGGACCTTTCCGAAACCAATGAGATGCATTTGGAGGCCAACGCTTTTGAAGGGATGAGTTCTCTGAGATATCTCTGCTTCTTTTATTCACGGGAAGGGTATGGAGTTTGCAAAGTTCATGTACCATATCTTGGCCTTGACACCCTTCCTGATAGTCTAATGTGGTTGCAGTGGGATGGGTTCCCTTCAAAGTCTCTACCATCAAGATTTTCTCCAGAAAACCTGGTCTCACTTACTATACGTCATAGCACAATGATGCAAAGATGCTGGGAAGTTCAGGTATGTTATCAACACTTGTTAAATCATTGGGATGAGTTCAAGCATGGAGTTATTATGTAAATTAACTCCTATTTCGAGTTTTAGATTCTCCTCATGTGATTCCTTCGCCAAAGCTTTTTAAGCAGTTGATGCACTGACTTCGGTCCAATACTGATTACAACCATTTAGCTCCTTACCACTAGACAACTCCATCCTCATATCAGTGCGAATTCTTCATGTGATATATAGATAGTAGACCTCTGACCTTTCGATTTTTGGATTCTCCTCATGTGATTCAAAGGCTGAAATGCCTGGAGGGTAAGGTGGAACTAGGAAAATTTAGGAAAAAGGAAATTCATTTTGATAATCCGATCGTGTTACTTGGCTGAATCTAATGTTTCCTCTCATATTTTTTCATCTCCACTAATCTTGATCGATCCATATGCTGATATTGGAATTTCGATATTAACGGGCTCTCCCATGGATGTGCTAACGCCTAAGAGACTGCTCTTTATCTCAATGGTTAAAGGGTTTGTACCACCCTGGTAAAGGACAAAGAGGCTTTACCATGGCGGTAAATTAGCACCAGGGTGATAAAGGCCATTTACCATAATGGTAAATGATCATACTACCATAATAAAAGAAAGTGCAGTTCAGTGGGCACGTCCTGACAAATGATCAAATTTGTTTATCTTGAAAGATGTTAGAAATGAATATCATTTTGTGGATCTCATAAATTCCGATTTTCTCATTCCTGTATAGAGAAACGGAAATCGTTTACTGTTATCAAGTAGAGAAGATGGAAATAAGATTTGTGGAAGAGAGAAAGAACACCAATTGGCGTGCTCTGGTTGGTTGGGGGCGCAAACACCTTCATTTCTTATGCATCAGAACTTGTCCCAGCTTTTTTTCTAACAAAGAGTAATTTTATTGCTCTGCATTCTTCCTATAACTCAAAGAGGGATCGTTAGAATTTACCTTCTTTTATCTTTTCCCTTTGCAGCCAAAGCTTGGAAGTGTAGTGCGGCTGGATCTCTCCCACTGCATCAATTTAACTGAAGCCCCAGATTTGTCCAGGTCTCCGAGTCTGGTGTACCTCGTACTCAAAGGATGCAGAAGCCTAATTGAACTACCATCTCATGTCCAAGATTTGGAGAAGCTGACAACACTCGACGTCAGTGGTTGTACAATTCTGAGGCGTCTTCCGGCCAAACTCAACTCAAAGTTCCTCAAGTATGTTTACTTGTCCAACTGTCCCAAGATCACTCGCTGTCCGGAGATCAATTCAAGAGAGTTGAAAATGTTGGATTTAAGGGAGACAGCCGTTAAATCCTGGCCGGTTGCGATTTACCAAGTCAAGAAGGGTGGCACCCTGCGTCTCTGTGGCAAACACATCCTCAGCTTCCCTGCTATTTCAGCAAACTTGAAAGAGTTTCGGTTGTGCCATACCACGATAAGAGAGATGGACTGTTACGATGATGATCATCCTCAGGGTTCTTTGCCAAGATTTGTTCGACTCGAGTTGGTTGACAACCCCCAACTCAAGAGCTTGTCAAGGAATATCTGGAAGATGGTATCTCAATCACTCATTCTTCACTATTGCCCGTCGATTGACAGTTTGCCAGAAATGTCACATCCTGTTACTGGCTTGACTCATCTTAGTATAAAAGGATGCCGAAAACTGAAGAGCTTTCCAACTGGCATCAACAATATGAAGTCTTTGCGGACCTTCTGTTTCTGTAATACGGATATTAAAACCCTACCCGCTTGTGTCGAGGAACTTGACCAGCTCTCATCTTTAGATTTGTCTTCTAACTATAGCCTTGAGTCCGTCCCCTGCAACATCCATAAACTTGCCAAGCTGTCCTCCTTGCTCTTGACAGGCTGTCGGAGGATTCAGTCTTTGCCGGAACTCCCACTGAATCTTCTAATTTTGGATGTGAGCGGCTGCAAATCATTACAAGCCTTACCAAGCAATGTAGGCAGGCTAAGATGGAAGCGCCTCTACTTTGAAGATTGCCCGCAATTGGACACGAGTCTGCCTAAAGAAGTGGTCCATAATTTCCATCATCATGCAGTGTCGAATCTACATCCTCAGGTATATAAATACTAGTGTACTATGATCATCTTTGTTATTATGTATATGATAATTAGAGCTGAGGAAAAAAAAATCAAGATCTTTGTGATGAGACTACCTCTGTTGGTATCAGGGTGTTCTTCAATATTCGGGAAGTGAGATTCCAGAATGGTTTCCTTGCAAAAGCATGAATCAGAAGAATGATTCATGCGTGATGGTGCAATTGCCCCCTTCAAACTGCACTATTAAGGGACCAGTTAAAGGGATTGCATTTGGTGTTGTGTGTTCTTCGAACATTCGGAACACTTGGATGAGATTTCATTGCAAGTGCAACATCGACACCACTGTTGCTGCCCGTTGGATTTCTCGTGGTTTTGGTATGGCTCCGTCACAGTCAGATAACGCATCTATCTATCTATCTATCTATACAAATAATAAAGCGCTTTGAGATTTTAACCCCTAACACGTCAGCCTTCCTCAAAATATAGGCTATCCACGTCAGCGGCTACTCTTTTACTCTCTCTTTCCACCAATCCCGGCCGCCTTCGCTGATACCCCCAATTCCTATTAGAGAGCAGTTATATCAAGGCTTCGGTTCGTTTAAAGTTGAAACAGTTTCTTATGTGGCGATTGAAGTGATTAAAACAGAGCGGGTTATGGGATTGCAATTTGAGCCCGAATTTGAGGGACTGAATTCTGGCCTGTGATCAACGCCTAAGCCGCAGAGTTTAACGACATGATCGGGCGAGTTCACAGGATGCGGCTTCCGACTGGTGAAGGAGGCAATTGTCACTCAAGGTTCTCAAATCTCAAGGCAGCGTGAAATCCTAATTAATTGCCTCGAGCAGAGCATGATCTGACGCGGACCCAGAGCGAGAATTTGTAGAAGAAATTTCATGGACCGAGAATCCGTTCCTTGGAACCGAAATAAAGAAAATTGCAGCGCACTACGCCGGCCATCCCGGAAAATTCTGAACGTATTTCATTGGTCCTATAAAGCAGGAAAGCGCTGGGGATTGGTTTCTGCTAAGCAAAACAAGGTGTGACCAATTTCTTCATTTCCAATTACATTGATCTATGCATGAAAGTTCCAATTTCACTTTTGTCTGCAATTTATCTGGTTATTCATGTTTGGTCAACACCAAATGATATAAAGGTTATGTTTCAAATGATGTATCCACCAATACATTATGGATAGTTTTGCCACGGAATTTTAAAAATGTGTGAATTTAATTTAATTTTTATATTATAGAAAACCCGAGAATTATCAAGTGAAAATTGGCTAAATTACATGTTTAGAATGCGTTATAACCATGGTCCATGCAATTGCATCGGAGACCGTACCAAAAAAGTCAGCGGTAGGGAATTTTATGATAAAATTGTGTTTTAATCGTAGTTCAACCGTTAGTATCATTAAATACAGCCTATCAATTTAACCTCCGCTACTGGTATTTCGTAGTTAAACCGTCGATACACAACAATTTCATGGACCATGATTAAAACTGAAATCAGAAATTGATGGTCTGAAATTTTGATTAAAATACCAATTTACTCCTTCCGTTGTGAGTTTGTAATCATAGAAGAGGAAGAACATTGGGTAGAACAACATGGAAATGTCAAAATATGGGAGTAGGTGCCCTAACTACAAATTCCACGTCCGCTGCAATTCTAGGGTTATTTTTGTCCATCCAAGGATCCAAACGTGGGGTTTTTACCCAATTACGCCATTATGTTAAAATTAGGCACAATTCTCACACCAAAATTTCACATCAAACAACCCCTATATGAAATCATGCCTAAATCGGGTATGGAAAGGCCGATAGTCATTAAAATTTTTCAAGTCACATGAACAATTCTATTTCAAAAATAGGGTATTGGTTCATGCACAACAAGAACACAACGTTATGCGTTACAAATACTCAGAACACAAACAAGATAACACATTTGGCAATCGTTAATTGCTAAGCTAATTTGATTACTTGAAATCAATTAAACTCCTCGAAATTTAAATCCTAATGCACCTATAAAAAATTGTAGTCTACTCATTCGCCAAATAAATCATTTTACCAATGTACCCAAATATATAAACATAACAATAAAAAAGATCTACTAGATCATAAGAAGCTAAAATTACTGCTTCTGTTCCACATTAAATTATGCCAAAAAAATTCACCCGCCCAATGGGCGGGCACAAAGCTAGTATATATGGTATGACAAGAACTTGTTTGGCTGGAGCGAGAAAGGAATACGAGAAGAAGAAGAACCCTGGTACCAGAGATATTCTGGCCGCACTGTCTCCTTCAGATTCTGCCTAGCAGTCGAAAGGGAACGAGACCTCGAAAATTTGAAGGGAATCAAAATCAAAAGGGTTGGCGTCTGTCTACTGTACTAGCTTGCTGGTCGGCCTCCACAGATGAGCTCTCTAGTTTCTACAACCGTACTATATTATGTTTGTGGAGTTGCCATTGAATGTGTCTAGATACTTGCTGTGCAGTTTCTATGCGTAGGATGTAAATCGGCAGAAGAATCTTGGTGCACTGAGAAGGTAGTCGAGGCTGGTGTACCATTGGGTACTTTTGTAATGTAAGTTTGAAGTTGTTTCTGCAACGAAAATGTTCATGAGTTTTCGACATCGATGTAACTCGAGTAACTTGTAACCCTCGACTTACATTAACTGCCTATTGATTTGACTCAAATCTTTAACAAACAACCAGAGTTGCTTGTCCCCTTTCGAGAGTTCTGATATCAGTTTTCGAGTTGTGTTTTGCATGAATAGCTCCAGTCGTTTAAGGTTTTGTGACGATTCTTGATATGGTGGCAAAAAAACAATGTTAGACTAACTGTTTCATATTTGAACTTTTATATTAGTTTTGGCACCAAATCGAACCAAAAATCAATGAACGAAGCGAGACTAGAAGTTATAGAAATTTTGGTGATGTAAACGAAACTAAATATAGTTTAGTGACCCGAACCAAACTACAAGCATAGATCAGTGACCTATAATGTAATTGACCACCTTTTTCCCTCGCACAGTTGAAGGCGTTGGAAGTGGGGCAACAAACCCGCGCGCTTGCTTCGTGGTCTCCGCCTCCTCTCTCTCTCTCTCTTCCTCTGTATCACACACTTTCCTGTTTCCAGCTTCCATTGCCCTAAAACCCTTCGCCCCGCCTCTGAAATCTGGACCGCAAACAGCTGCCGCATTGTTCTCTTGATTGCTACAAACTACTCCGCGCCGCCGCCGCCGCCGCCGTGCACGATCCCTTGCCCGGGGCAAGAAAATGTCGTCGGCGATTTCCAGTTTCACACCCTGCGGTCGAGGCAGAATCTCGACGTCTCCCGCCGGGAGGAGTCCTGGTCTGGATTGGCGAGCTTACGCATCTCCAATTTCTTTGCCGGCGGCTCAGGTAAGCTTGTTCTGCTGGATTGTGATTTTTTGTTGCAGTTGTCTGCAATGTTCACCGAGTTGATTGAAAGACGCTTCGTTTTGTTGTACGGTTCGATTGTAGAATGAAGCATTCAGAATTTCCAGATTGGGAATCTGTAGTTCAAGCCGAATGGCGAAAGATCGAGCTGTGAGAATGGCATTGGTGGATGAGCCGAGGCTCGCTCGGGGGACTAGAATGGCTGAGCAGCCGCCTGGAGTTTTGGTAAAGTGGAATTTCTTATGCTAAATCGAAATTAGGAAGGGAAAGCAAGTTAAAGCTAACGGTGTGTTAGTTTCCCCTTTGTGTTTGCAGGCGTATGAACTTGTCCAAGGACCACTTGTGAGTTTCATGTACTCAGCTTCCTGCTATTTTTCCAGCTCTCTTATGAATCTCAATAGTTAGTTTAGCTATAGATGTAAGACTGCCATTAGGAAGCTGCGCGTCGTTGCTTGTCAATGACGCGTGTTCGTAGATCGGATGCACAGCCAAAGCGTGTTGGTTTTGGCTCAGAGGTACAAACTTGCTCATATGTGGGGTTTTGGTGATGGTGGGCAGGTAGAATGGAGCTCATCGAGGGACAAATCAGTAGCTGATCCACCCACAGCTGTGCTTCTTCATGGGATTCTGGGTAGCCGGAAGAATTGGGGTAAGGGAAATAGGAAAGTCTTTGTCTTTGTGATGATTTCATTTGAATGTTTTCACTTCAATGCATGGCCACACACTCACATTGCAACTTTTGATTGGGATTTCCTACAATAATGGTAAAGTTTGCAACTTTGCGTCTTATGTGCAATGACACTTCCTGTTTGCGCATGTATTACAGGTAGTTTTGCTAAACGCCTTGCTCAAGAGTATCCAATGTGGCAGGTAATGTATATGATCCCAAATGCAAATGCTTCGATGTTGCTTTTTCGATAGGTAATGAACGTGATATCTGGTGCTGATTTAGTTGCTGACACATTGTGATCATGTAGTTTCTTTTGGTAGACTTGCGATGCCATGGTGATTCTGCATCAGTCAAGAGGAGGGGAGTGCATTCTGTTGCATCAACTGCATCAGATGTCTTAAAGCTGGTGAATGATTCTTGACTGTAACCAGATTCTAAACTTAATATATCTGTCCATTTCTATTGCTGTTTCTATGAAATTTGGGCATATCACAATCGCTATTAAACACTAGATTTGCCCTCTCGGCATGAAACTGACTGCTATTTGCTTCCTTCCTATTTTGCCTGGAGCAGGTAGCACATCTTAGAATAACACCCCGTGTTTTAATCGGCCATAGCTTTGGAGGAAAAGGTAATTTTGGTTTCACTTCTCAAAAAAAAAAAAAAAAAAAAAAATCTAATATGAAAGAAAATAGGTGACTTTTTGACATTTGAATCAAATTTAACGCCATTTGATTGCTTATCCTGTTTTCAATTTGTGGACGTAGTTGTTCTAAGCATGGTTGACCAGGCTGCCAAGCCTCTTGCAAGACCTATCAGAGTGAGTGTCCTATTTTGCAGAGATATTACTTAGTTTTATTGTCTTAGAATCAAGTCATGAGTATCCCGATATTAGGTATGGGTTCTAGACGCCACTCCTGGAAAAGTCCGAGCAGGGGGAGATGGAGAAGACCATCCTGCTGAACTTATATCTTTCTTGAGGAGACTGCCAGAAGAGGTAGGCCATCATAGTCATTTTCTGCTTTGTATCTCTCTTGCGCTTCTGTTGTCACAACTAACCATATTTTTAAATCTTACTGCAAGTAAGGTCACATCTAAAAGAGAAGTTATAAGTGCTCTTCTCAGAGAGGGATTTTCTAAAGACGTCGCACAGGTATAATTTGTTCTCCAGACCTGTCTCCCTGACCTGTAGAACCTAAACTGGATTATCCATCTCTACTGGCTTTCGTTTTGCGTTGCTGTTTTAGGTCCATTTGTGATTTCTTGCTTCTGTATACAGTGGGTGGTAACTAATCTTAGACCAAGCGGACCTCCTTCCTCCCCGTCTTCAAAATTCTCATGGATATTCGATCTGGAAGGGATATCAGAAATGTACCACTCCTACGAAGAAACTAATTTATGGTAATCACTAGTCTGTACAAACATCTTCGCATTCATACAAATCCCTCATCTGTTTGATGACCGGCGATATGTTTTGTATAGGAAATTCGTGGAGAACGTGCCTCGAGGAGTGCACCTAAACTTCTTGAAAGCAGAGAGGAGTTTGCACAGATGGGCCTTGGAAGATCTCCAGAGAATTCATGCCGCTGAAGACATAGCTTCGGAGGAAGGCAGTGGAGTCGAAATGCACGTCCTAGAGGATGCAGGCCACTGGGTAGGACTACATTCTTCCTCCGAAACTGTAAATTTCCGTCTGGTGATATGAACAAAACTGTTTTATTGATTGACTACTCTGCTCATCTCTGACAGGTACATACTGATAATCCAGATGGTCTCTTCAGGATTCTTTCACCTTCGTTCCAGGGATTCAAATCCTCATGACAAGCTCTTTGCTCCGCTCAGATTTTGCCCGAAACATACCAGTAACGTGTACAGTATCAGTTAGATACGTACGATTTCGCTAGTGAACTCAAAGTTTAGTGGCAATTAGACTCCATATCTATTGAACTCGTTTCGACTCTATATATAAAAAAAATATTTTTATTTATGTGTAATATTTGTGCTCAAAAGCAAAGATCTTTTGTCTCCTGACGTACAAAATTTGTTGTGCTCTCCCCATACCTCTTCCAACCAAAAATTGAAAAAGAACCCCCAAAGCTTCCTTCCTCTGTTCATATCATATATCCTTCTATATGACCTCAACAGCAGGAACAGCAGACGAATGCTGAATCGTCGAATTCAGCTTCTTGCTGACCAGAGCATCCTCCAGCTGCTGAGAGATCGTCTTCTGGGAAGAACTCGACCATTTCATCTGCATGAAGCTCCTCTTCCTCCATGGCCCCATGTGGATCTTCTGCTCCTTCATTGATGTCTTGGCCGCCTCACAGAGGATGCGTACGATGGCATTCAGGTAGTCTGCTTTCCCGATGTAGTACTCCGGCAACAGGGACACCATCCGTCGGTACTCCCCACAGGGCTTCGCGATCTCGAACTGAGCCTTGAACTCCAGCTCCACCACGTAGGGTATCCTCTTCTTCCTCGCACTCGTGCTCGCCATAAGCTCCACGTACTCGTGTTTGCCTGGCCACGTGTAAGTAAGTGGTTAAGATCTATATATAGACCTTGCATAACAGCTCGAGTTATTGAGCCCATTTGGTTCGTGAATGAATGTCAAAGAGAAAACTTAGGTTCGGATGCGAGAAAAAGGTACCTCCGGGAAACTTCTTGGTGTTCTTCCACTGTGATGTGCAGAGAGTGGCATTGAAACCTCTTTCGAGAAGCATGTCGACTACCTTGTTCCGCAAGCAACTGGTGCAGCCTTCTTGGGTGCTCTTTGTCGTCTTGGTAGTGATGTTCATGCAGCTGCAGAAGTCGGTCTTCTTTGCTAACCCTATTATCCGCCCAACTTCTTGCCTCAGCTTCAGACTTGCTGAGCTATGGCGTTCCAAAACCTCCTGTTAGAAAAAAAAAATACAACATAACCGAAACCACAATTAGTATGTAAATCTTATATATGTGTTCTTGTTTTGAAATTCAGGGTCTTAGAAATTTGTCTTCCATCATACGAGTATTCGATAAATTGATGCGAGCATTGAAAATTTTAAAGTTCAGACTCTAATTAGTGACTCTCATGGACTACTCTTCATAACGACATAGATTATGAATCAAATTGGGGGAAAAGTTAATTTGGCTTCAAAAATTAGTTTCAAATTATCGCCAGACATAATTAAAATCCTTATACCGTTATGTAAAGATTTTGTTCCTTCATCATAAATAAATCAAAGGGTAAATCAAACTAACAACCGCAACTTTAATAAAACACAAGAAAATACTAACCAAATTCATTTTAGATATTGTAAAAGGCGGTCAGCATGACAGCATAGAGAAAGCAAAAATGACAACAAAGATGTCAAGGGATAAGATTAGGTGGTGAAAGGGATTTTGTTGATATTTAATCTTGTTTAATAATCGTAAAGAAAGTGTAATTATTAAAATTAGAGACATGACATAATGCACTTTCACTTTCAAAAGTGCCCACCATTAGCACATTTAGCAGCCGGTTAGCTGTCTCTCTCTCTCTAATCAAATTAAGCTTCCAAGTTGGAGGCAGAAAATTTCCAACCACACCAACTCCACACTACAAAACGACAGCAAATAGGGAAGAAAACGACGCAAAGAAATCTGTATGAACCCTCTGGCATACAGCAAATTTTGATTAAAGGGTATCCCTACCTAGAAAAAAAATACTCCATCTTTGTTAATTATACTTTTGGCCAACCTTGAAGATATGTTTAAGAATATCATATATTGATTCAAACCATTTTTCGACGCTAATCAAAGTTAGTATCGTTATAACTTATAAGTTCATTTTAAGTCGCAAAACCTCTTTCATCGGTTGATGGGATCAAGTATTCAATGCTTTTTTAGCAATGTACGGGAATCTAACTTCGAGTGGCCCTTGAACTCCTACCATGGCAGCTCATTGTGGTCACAAAAAATTAGGTCCTCGATATTAAAAAAAAAAAAAACAATGGGACAAAAACATAGCTTTCCTAACATTGATATCAAAATTAAATATCGAGAACATACTTCCTTAAAAAAACCGAATATTTTTTTAAATATATTCCCTTTTAGAATCAGAAATAATTATTTCGAGTGTTTCACTTTTTAATGGGGAAGATTTTACTTCAATTATTGCCGTTAATACTCTTAGCTAATTCAAATTAAGGAAAAGAGCGAAGCTAAATTGCCCATTTCTTATTACTAATTAGTAGTGCTAAAATCAAAACGTATAAGGCAAAAAAAAATCGAAGCTAAGTCAACACCATAATACCAAAATTCGGTATAATTTTCAAATTCTAGGTGATTGTTGCAAATTAGAAAATAATTATGAATTAGAAAAGGGAAAATGATGGGATATTTTGAAACATTGATTTCATTCCAGACGATACCTAAAATCAATCGTTTCGTGTCAATTTTTTTTGCAGACACCTTAATCAAACAAACAATCAAGAATTTTACTCGCATATTCTATCAATCGTTTACGAACTATGAATGAAAGCTGAGATCGATGCATCCATCTCAAGAAGAAAAAAGAGAGACAGAAGAAAAACTTAGTTCTATGTTGGGGGGAAAAGAAAAAACATACCTGAAGCAAGGCCTCCTGGGATTCCCAAAACATGACTCTGTCGATGGCCTCATCGTCATCCTCCTCCGGCGACCGATCATCATCGCCGGCGGCGGCGGCATCCCAATCTCCGGCCCCACCACAACAGGCAGCAACAGCTTGAGAGAGGGACAAACTTTTGCAACCACCACCACCACCGCCATCATTCTCATCGTTGTAATAATGATTGTAATAATCGTTCTGGAAATCATTAATATCCAGATTAGCTCTATCATTATGTTGTTGATGATGACGATGATCAAGAGGCTTCAGGATTCCTTCTTCCTCCACTGCAGGCTTCATTAGCTTAATCTGAAGACGACCCATTTCTTCTTTCTTCTTCTTCTTCTTCTTCCAATCCTCTCTACCGGCGAAGAAAAAAAAAATGAAGGGAAAGAGAGAAAGGAAGAAGAAAGCTTTGTTGGGTTTTTTTTTTCTAATGAATTTTTGAGGGGTTTATTTCTCTTTTTTTTTGTTGGATTATTGTTTTCTGTTTATGAAAGGCCCTGTATTTCTCTCTTCCAAAATTTTGGAAGAGGGAAAAACTGTGTTTGGGAGGGCAGAAGAAAGAAGGAAGGAATGGGCTTTGTTTGCTTATATGGGGGAAGAGGGGGTTTTTTTTTGTGTTTTTGTTTCTGTATTTCATTTTTCAGTATTTGTGTTTTTATTTCATTTTTTGTGGTTTTTCGTTTTGTATTTTGGGTGGCTCTTGTAAATTGGCTTGATTGGACTTTGGAGGGTTTCATAAGATCCCCTACTTTTGAATTTTTTTTATGGGTTATTTTTGTTCATTTTTAATATCGGGGTTAAGTGTTACGTTCGATTTTTGGCAGAGCTGACAGCGTGTTTATAAGCACAATTTGATTATTCACATGCTACATTAAAAAAAAAATTTATCGCTTCTGAATTACTCACCAGCCTCGTTAGCAATTTATTCTCTTATTAAGTATTGAATGATGCAGAAATCGTGAAAACAAAAACAAATGTGAAAGAATCAAATGGAGAGATATATAAAAGCCTGAACTCCCAACTTATACGTGTTGTATGAGTGATTCTGCGATGTAATAACATCACACATTTTACTAATTAACAATGATCGTATATGACACACATATAGAGAATGATTGGTGTAGCTTTTCTTCCAAAAACAAAGGAATCTCTTAATTTCGCTAAAAATCAATTAACATTCATTATATACATACCGTGTGAGAGAATCTTCAATAAATTCATTGTCATGGTCTTAATCAAACGCAAACTAAACAAACCCTATTTAATTTGTATATATTACCATGGTATATTACGTAGCTTGACATCAATAATCGATATATAATTATAATATATGGCCAAAAGTGAAGGACATTGAGTAGATTTATCTTACAAATAATATATAGTTGTCCAGAAAGAGGTCGATCCAAATAAATGCATGCTAATTAATATCTCAAGAGATAAGCACGAGATTGGCAGCGCGCTTGCGAGTTCAATTCTTACAATCTATCAGTCTATACAGAAACGATCTTCGATATGCCCGAACAGATGTGTAACCCAAATCGTCTCGTCAGATGGTTCATACCGCAAAAATAAGCCAAGCTCAAAGGGTTAGATTGGTAGTTAATATTCCCATTAGATTCTTCACTTAATTATGGACCACCTATCGACCATTGTAATGACGGAATCAATATTTGAAGTGGGGTTAATAGCCCCATCCTATCACTTCTAAATATTTTCTATACGTATACGCATTATAACAATAAATAAATAAAAAATTGAAAATAGTTGTAAACTATACAGAGCTCCACCGCTACACCATTCATCAATTTGGTGCATAGGACATAATCGGGAAAACGTGGCTATTTTTGAAGACAGAAGTGATTGAATATGAAAAGTTGTCTAAACTGCAGATTTTTGTGGTTGTAGACAAATTGCCTTGTGCAATATCTCTTGTCGTGTGCTCTCTCTCAATCTTACATTGGCATGATGGGTATCTTGACCAATGCCCTTATTTTGTGGGAAGAAATCATAAGAACTTATCCCTAAAAAAGAAATTATTATTGGGCTAAGCGTCGTTTGATTTGGATTTTGATAAACCATGGAGGCACCCTCATGTTCATCGACAAGCAACTAATTACAGAGTTAATACAAAAATTTATCTCGTTAATTGAGTCAGAGAATGATCCGAGCTCACTCATTTACAATTACAAATGGCATTCGTAATTCGTTTAGGAAGAGTTGGCAAAAGAAAGAACTATATCGAGTGAAGTGACCTCGTTCCAAGCCAATGAAGCTATCCGCAAAGTACGAATTGCCCAGGTCAAGACAGAGCTCCAACATCTTGAAGAAGAGAAAACAATCATTAATTAACTGATTGATTTCAACTTACCATGCATAATTATATAAAATCATGATTTAGTGTGCTATTATTTGTATACTTCTTATAATATTTTTGCTATTAAACATGGAAAACAAGTGTTCTTCTACTTTATCCTCACTAGAAAAGTAGAAACCAAAAACCACCATGTCGTCACTAAAGATAAACCAGAAACCAATACCCATCCTCCAAAACCCCAAAAAGAGCCTCTGTTTTTTGCTTCTTCCCTTCCAGTCATCGCAACACGTGGACTGCCAGTTCTTTCCTCTGCATGCAATTTTGTTCTTCATACTCTCCCATCTGTCCCTTCCTTCTCTCTCTCTCTCTCTCTCTCTCCCTCTTCACTTCTGATCATCATCTCTATCCACTTCCCTTCTTCCCTTCCCCATCCCTCTGCCAAAAAACAGAGCAAAGAAAGAACCCATCTCTTAGTTTCAAGTAAAAAAAATGGTGATGATGGATTTGGTAAACTCGGTGATGAATCTCTTTGTCCCGCCGGCGAGCCTCGTGGTGATGGCTTGCGCCTGGCCGGCGCTGTACTTCATCAACACCTGCGAGTGGCTCTACAAGAGCTTCCACGGTGAGGACATGGAGGACAAAGTTGTGATTGTCACCGGCGCTTCTTCTGGCATCGGGGAGGTAACAAGACCACTTTTTTTTTTTTGCATTGAATTCGTTTTAATTATAGCTGAATCTGTTCGCCAGTTTGATTGCATGAGAGTGATTTTGGGTGCTTAGTGTTGGTCTGATTTGTAAGGAAGATTAGTATTGAAAAAAAAACAGAGCTTCCCCTGCATTTTTGAGTACTTGGCAGTTGAATTAAGGCAGGATTGGATGTGATTAAGGGTTAATCGTTGAAATCGGTCCTTAATTGTATAAAATGGAGGGGAATTTTTGCACAAATTGGATGAGAAATGGTTGCCGTTGGCATGGATTTTACTACAGGAACGAGTCATGATCGCCGGTGGAGAATTTTCATTTTTACCCCTCTTTGAGAACATAATGTCATTTCCCCGTGTTGCTCGATTTCGAACAATGTAGCAAATCGCTTACGAGTATGCGAAAAGGAGAGTGAATCTTGTACTGGTTGCGCGGAGAGAGAATAGGCTTCGTGGGATCAGCGAGAGGGCTAGAGTTTTGGGCGCGAAGCATGTCATGATCGTGGGAGCGGACGTGGTGAAGGAAGATGAGTGCAGGAGATTCATCAACCAAGTCGTGAGCTACTATGGTCGCCGTAAGTATTTGAAATGAATCGGTTAGCTAGATACAGAGCTTAGTCGATCCCGAGTCCATCATTCTCATTATTGGTTGCCTTCTTTTCCAGTGGATCATTTGGTGAACACGGTGAGCTTGGGGCACACATTCTACTTAGAAGAAGTTGTGGACAACTCGGTGTTCCCGCACTTGCTGGTAGTCAACTTGGGCCGTAATCAGTCTAGTTAATTACTTACTGATTCTTGGAACTTTTTGGTAATCTCGAATTTGGTATTGCTTTCCACGTTGTTTCTTTTTGCAGGACATAAACTTTTGGGGCAATGTCTATCCAACTTATGTTGCTCTTCCCCATCTCCATGAGACCAATGGGCGAATCGTGGTTAATGCCGCAGTTGAGACCTGGCTGCCTCTTCCAAGGATGAGCTTATACGGGGTGAGTAATCTGCATTCTTGTTCCTAGGATGTAGATCAAGGGGTTAAACACTAATGTGGTCACTAAACTCGCCTATGTATCACATCAGACAATAAACTCGACTCGTCGCTGATAAGTGACCGCCATTACCATTAGCATTGTTGTTTTTTGCTGTGACAGCCCCTATCGGGGACATAACCGAGACTGATGAAGCTAAGATAGGCGAGACCATAAACACTTAGTGTGACTAGTTCGACTATCGAGTTCGCTACGTATTACTACTGGGATGTGATACATTTAGATGGGTCCAATTACCAGATAATTTCATGTGTTGATGGCATAATTTTTTCATTTTGCTAGGCTGCTAAAGCTGCACTCATAAACTTCTACGACACGCTGAGGTTTGAACTGAACGACGAGATCGGGATCACAATCGCCACACACGGTTGGATCGGTGCAAGCGAGGTGACTGGGGGCAAGTTCATGCTCGAGGAAGGCGCGGAGATGCAGCGGAGAGAAGAAAGAGAAGTACTAAAAATCCTTGAACCTCAAGAAATGCACATTTTTTCACATCTCCACCACTACCAACACTACAAGTCTATTGATCAAAACTTTCTCTGATTCAGGTGAATGGGAGTGGCAGCCCGTTGGAGGACTACGCGAAGAGGATCGTGTCAGGGGCCTGCCGCGGGGACCACTACGTGAAGTGCCCGAGCTGGTACGACATCTTCCTCATCTACAGGTACTTCGCGCCGGGCGTCCTGAACTGGACGCTCCGGCAACTCCTCGCCTCCCACGGGGCGAGGAGGACCTCCCTCATGGGGACGGGGAGGCCGTTGTTGTTGGAATCCGGGACGAGCTCCCCACGGAGTACGGACTCCGGATCGAGCTCGCCGCGGAGGCCAGAACCGTCGAGCTCTCCATGGAGCTCGTCTCCACCACGGAAGATCCTCGCTGGTCCCTCCGGCGGTCCAGTCACGTTCTCGTCGTCGAGAAGTCCGGTGCATCCAGTGCAGATGCACAAACTCGAGTGATGGTAGTACCGAGTGATGTAAAGGGTGATCTCGATAAGGCATTGACTGTTTTATTTTGTGTTGGTGAGATGGGTTTTTTGTTTTCGTGAATTGGAATAAGTGGGATTTTGGTGTATGGATGGTCATTGATGGGTTTAATTTCAGTTTCTTGAAATGTGGATTTTGTTACTTTGGATCATTTTCTTAGTTATTCCTCGTGTCCCTTTGCTCGTGACTAATGCTGGAGGTGACAAAAAATAGAGAATTATTTTTTTATATATAGAAAGTGCCTGTGTGCTTTTTATTCAATTACTAGAAAATTGGTCCGCGCTCTGTAGCGGGTACTCAAAAATAAACCTACCAATTAGGAGTGAAAAATAATAATTTTAAATCAAGGTGAATGTCGTTTGTGGTCGAAAATGAATCATGTATTAACTTGAATCGGGTGCGAATAGGACCATAACCAATTGTTTAATCTCTTTAGCCTTCATGCACTTGTATATGATTTCGAATAGGGCTGGCAGTTCGGTTTCCGGTTAGCGGATAACCGTCGGTTACATCCGAAGCCGAAAACCGAGACTAAAATTACTTCGGTCGGTGGACGGAGGAGAATACAAAAGCTTCGGATAACCGAGAAACTGACCATTATTAACCGCGGTTATCCAAAAAAACCGAACCAAACCGAAAACCCTCATATATTGCCCTACCTGCAAAAAAAATGACATAAAACCCATAACCCCAAACTGAAACCCTATAATCCCCTCATCAAACCTTCACCCTCACGAGTCACGGCCGCCGCCCAGCTCCCTTCCTTGTCGCCTCACGGCCGCCGCCTTCCTCCGTTCCTCGCCGCCATGCAGATCCTTCCTCGTCGCGTCGCACCCGTCCAGATCCCTTCCTCGCCGCGTCGCCTCATGCAGCCGCCGCGCCCAGATCTCGTCCTCATCGCGTCGCCTCGCGCAGCCGCCTCCATCCTTCCTCTTTCCTGTCCATCCGTCGTCGCCGTCCCCGAGCAGAAGGAAAAGAAAAGTGAGAGAGGAGAGAAGAAGGGTCTTGGAGATGGAGGGTTAGGCTTAGGCGGTTAGCAGAGGCAAAGAAGAGAGAGGGGAGAAGAAAAGACTTCTCGGTGGTTCTTTTCCTCATTTTGGGTGAGGAGAGAAGAAGAAGAAGATAAGGTGGGTCTGAAAATGTGTGGTGGACCGACTTTTCTTCTATTTCTTTTTTTTTAAAACTTTTTTGTATTTAATTCGGCTAACCGCGGTTATAACCGATAACCGACCGGTCGGTTAGGCGGTGATCGTGTGAAACGCGTCGGTAGTGCTAGAGGGTGCTCGGTTTAACCGAAAACCGAAAAGTCGGTTTCGGTTAAACCGAAACCGACCGACTGACAGCCCTAATTTCGAAGTAGATAGTTGGATTTCCAATTATACTACATGATTTTGGATGGAGTAATTGAATGTATGATAATTGAGCGTGATATTCCCTAATCTTATGAAGAGGCAAGAAAATAATTTTATGATGAAGAATAAATGAAACTTTATCTTCCACGATAAATATTGTTATCAAATCATAATAATGGTTCAATCCTTGAAATTTCAAAAAGTATTTTGAAATAGTGCGATGTTCGAATTGAGTAACTCACAATTTCACATATAGTTTCCTATATGGATTATAGTAGACTGATAAAATAATGACTTATTCATAATTTTTTTTTTAATTTTGACAATGAATCTTCTTTGAAGCACACTACCTAATTATTATGTAATTACATGATCCTTATCACAAACATAGTAACATCATACATTTTATCCACTATGTGAATTTTAAGTTATACATGCTTCTTACTAACACCCAAACATACCAAGCTTGACGAAATAATTGAAATGAGTGGGACCTATAAGAATGTGGTTAGGTATATGATGGATTTTAACAAATCAAACAAATGATAAAAGGAGATCATGAGGCCAATAGAGATGAACATGTGACATTTTTTCATTCGCAGGGAGATCATGAGGCCAAGAGTCTATCGGAGGAAAACAGAGTGGACAATGATCTGGGAGGATTGGCGGCTAGTCCAAAGTTATTTGCAGGGGATTTATGGTGAAATCTCCAATTAGAAGATGGGAGGAGTAGCGGCTGTAGAAAATCCGGCGAGAGGATCCAACTTGGCCAATCTCCAATGAATCGTCGGAGGGAAGAAACAGGATGGCTAGGCATGGTGACTCGCCAACTTGGCCAATCGCCAGAAAATTCTCGTGGGGAAGATAGGGGGAAAGAACAGTTTATGGGGAATAAAAGGGGGCCATAAATCTTAGTGTGAGCTCGCAAATAGGGTTGACGACTTGACGTAGGTGCGGAGAGGGGTTGGGCGGCAGAACAGTGAGTTCTTGGGAAAACATCAACATGAAAAGGGTTGGCCAGCCGCCAAAGTCCAAAGAGATCGTCCAAGGGGAAGAAAACGGGGAGGGAAAAAGGGGTGTATAGAACTTATGGTACACAAGCCAACAGGGTACTGGACCCCTTAAGTATACTCGCCATTTAATTATACTAACTAATAACTAGCAACTAAGCCCGCGCTCCGCTGCAGATAATGCGTGAGTGACTCCAAGTTATCATATGAAAATTATAATTAGTTACAGATTTGACAAACAACAACGTAAAATTTTTAATTAATATCATAATATTAATAAATAAACACAACAAATAATTATAATAATTAAGAAGCAACTACATATAAATACATATATGCAAAGTACAAACTATTTTGCATTAACATTAGATAGAAACACAATAAATTATTAACAAAACATACAAAATATTTAAAAAATGCACTCCAACAAATTCGAGTAATAGCACTTGAAATGCTCATTATTAATGAACCGGATTGTTTACAACAACAAAAAAAAACAACATTCATTGACAACTTTATTACATATCAGGCAAAGCATATGCCAATGGATGCAATAAGCAGGTAACATTGATAAAACCAGAGAGAGGTGATCCAGGTACAACTATTTCCACCTCTGCAGTGAATACTTGACCGTTTGCTAACTTCATTAGACGATGCCTGTCACCAACTGTAAGATTTTTGAACTCCGTTAATGGAGTTTTTAGCAAGGTAGTCACGGGCCATTGACGGAACATCAAATCGCAGGAAGTCATTCCATCCCCACAGGCGATCACACTCAAATAGCTAGTAAGAAATCGAGGAAACAACGAGAAGCATTGATATTCCTTTTACAATAAGCAATGAATTGAATAAGTGAACATATACCTACCATTCAGGATATATTGAGAAAACTTCATGATCTGTATTGAAATTCTCAACTTCTATCAAACACCAGTAAGGTTCCTGTTAAAAAAATGAAACATTCAACCTTAATTATTGTTTACACTATGTCTAGACATAATATGCCATAATACTTAACAAGTGCAACATGTCATGCACATGTATACCATATCAAAAAAGTGGCAAAGATATGATGAACCATGGTTAAGTTTAAGGGGAACGTGATTAAAGTAACCTCCAACATGTACACTTAATGTACACTCATTTACACTTATTTAAACTTCAATACAAAAAACAAATACACATCTAACCCCATATTGCGGTTTTTCAGACCGAAATTCCGCAAGCAAATCTCTCAGTATGATTCGTTCCGGTAATGGACCACGAAGATATTTAATAGCCGACGGTTGTGATTTTGGATTCAGTTGTATTGGCATGTGAACGGTAGAAAACCTACAAGATATACAATTTTTAAACATATATTAGCAATAACCGTGAGCACGTACGGAAAATTGACCATATAGCTCACCTATCAAATACGTTCCTGTATTTGTGAGTATATGTGGCAAATATTATGCGACTTCCTAATGTGCTCTTCAACATATAGACCCCTACATTTTTTGGAACAACAAATGCACGTAACAAAATATCGATTATATGTTACACAATAAAGTCAAACGTACTTAAATTAAGTAAATATCATACAATAAAAGATGTTAAGAGTGTAAATATCAATAAGAACGTGAATACCTGGAGTACGTGTCTTGCCAACAAAAATACCGGTAATTGTACATATAACTGGTCCATTATGCTCTTTCATTAATGCATCTTGACAAATGCTATAATATTGTGTATCAGTATAAAAGATGGGGAATCTCCTGTTCCTACAATTGAAACCGAATGACAAAAATCTAATAGAAATTAACAATCAAAGTAAATATATAACATTAATGTGATAGTAAAAAAACCTGGTATTTTCTTTCACGAGTTTGAAAGTTTTAATGTGATATGGATGGTGTCGTGCCGTGGTAATGGAAAGTAAACGACCCGTAAGATCTGTTTATAAAGAAATTGACATAGATATAATTCGATTAGGTTGAATAATTAAATATATCTATTTAAAAATAGGATTACAATAATACATAAATTGTAAATATATTTACCTGCTAGATGGGTATGATTAGAACGCATAGGTGGTACGTCTTCAAATGCAGTATCTCTGAAGCTTTCGAAAGGGAATCGATAGACTGGATTGTCGCGTACTAAATAATTGTCATAAATTTCGACAAATTCCATAGCAGATTTAATGTGTAGTCGTAGATCGCATAGAGAGTAACGATTTCTAGATCGTGCAGGAATTAGTAACACGTCTGACATAATGTAAATGTGTCTTATTCCGATGGAATATTTGACCATCTCATAATATTTGGGTAAGGTAAGACCTTCTATAATGTTTTCCTGTTGTTGAAACAAAGTCACATTAGACTATGACAAAAACAAACACATGCTCTGACGATATACTTGAAGGGAACCACCTCTTTGTCGACCCATATTGTATAAAGTGCAGGTGAACCAGGAACGTCTCTGGTGATCCATTGGTGAATGAGTCGGACAACCAATGGTCGCTCAATGATACCTCCTGAAAGTTCTCTGATGGTCATTGAGGAATTTATTAGGTCTACAAAAAACATGGCTCTTAGAATATATGTCATGTAAGACATTGATTGGTTAAAGATATACGCTAATATTGAACATTTTTTCAAATGAATACGTATAAAATAAATTTGACCGTAATGAAAATACCAACACATGAAATAAATAACCTTCGAGTGAGCTCGGCAAAATATAATTCCTCGACATAATGGAACACCACCTAACAAAAATAACAGACTCTATGATCAACTATCG